ATAATCTGGGGAACAAAGCTTGTGGTGAGCTCCTGGCCTGGTACGTTCGAGTCACTCTGTCCCACAGCTGGCACTGGAGGACGAGGCTCATCTGTGGGTGCGGTGACAGCACGCTGTTGAGGGGCTGAAGCTGGCCACCTGGAGAGGCATGAAGTGAAGGCTAGCCTGAGCTACATGATAGTAAGATTGTATTTCAGAAGTGATAAAGTAAACAGACACATTGTTGTGATGAAACAGGTTGCCTGTTTCAGGGTTAGGTCCCAGGCCCATTTCCCAGACCGTTTTCCCAGCAGGGTGCCATTATAGTGAAGACTTAGACTCTGGTTAGCTGAAGAGGCTCTTGAACTCCTAACCCTTCTCCCTCTGCCTTCCAAGTACACGGTTACAGATAGACATAACCAGCTCCAGTTCTTTTCCTCTGCTGTCCATTTTCCAAATTAAAAAAAAAAAACCCAAAATTTCATTTTAGTTTTTGGGTTTTTTTGTTTTCTTTTCTTCCAAAAGGGTCTCACTATGTAGCTACATTAAAGTTGTGCACCACTGCACCCAGCTCATATGCTAAATTTTTTAAAAAACATTTATCATGTATGCGATGCTCTGCCTGCATGTATCCCTGCAGGCCGGAAGAGGACACCAGATCTCATTACAGATGGTTGCTGGGAATTGAACTCAGGACCTCTGGAAGAGCAGCTAGTGCTCTTAACCTCTGAGCCATCTCTCTAACACCCATATTCTAAAATTCATTAATTCCAATAACACTTTTCTGTTTTACAAAATATTTTTATTTTCTACGTGTATGGGATTTTGCCTGCATGTGTTAGCATATGCCTTTAATCCCAGTACACTTGTTTTTTTGTTTGTTTGTTTGTTTGTTTGAAGATGGGTCTTCTCTGTGTAATAGCCCTAACTGTCCTGAAACTAGCTCTATAGACCAGGCTCCCAATGATCCACCTGCCTGTCTCCCGAGTGCTGGGATTAAAGGCGTGAGCCACCACTGTCCGGCAGGCAGATCTCTGTGAGTTCGAGGCCAGCCTGGTGTAGAGTGAGTTCCCGGACAGCCAGGGCTGTTACGCAGAGAAGCCCTGCCTCAAAGCTTTTGTGCTCACTCACCTTGGTGCCAGCCCTGTTTGAGACAGTCCTGCCACACCCCTGTTTCTGTCATCTCAGCTGGAAAAGCGACTGGAAGACTGGCTGGGGAAGACATTGCCTGGCAGTGATTGGACACCCAACGCCCGGTTTATTATTCGTTCTTGGCTTCGAGATGGCCTCAAGCCACGATGCATAACCAGAGACCTGAAATGGGGAACGCCCGTGCCTTTGGAAGGGTTCGAGGACAAGGTGAATGCCCTTATCCCTTAGTCACAGCTTAGAGTGCTCAGCCTCAGGACCGCCACTGCTGCCAGTTACAAGGTCAGCCTGAGACTGCTCCATTGCTGTCTGTGTCCTTTCAGGTATTTTATGTCTGGTTTGATGCCACCATTGGCTACCTGTCCATCACAGCCAACTATACAGACCAGTGGGAGAGATGGTGGAAGAATCCAGAACAAGTAAGCAGGCCTTAGCCTGTCTGTGGGGCAGGGTGAGTAAGAGGTGTAGTGTTAGAAGGTTTCAGGCAGTCTCTTCCAATGTATTCTCCTAGGTGGACCTTTACCAGTTCATGGCGAAAGACAATGTTCCCTTCCATGGCCTAGTCTTTCCTTGTTCGGCCCTAGGAGCTGAAGACAACTATACCTTAGTGAAGAACCTCATTGCTACAGGTAGGCACCCAGGCAGTGCACATTCGAGGAATCAGGCCTCGGGCAGGCCTGGGGCCGGGCTAGGTCTCAGGTTAGGATCTGAGACGAAATAGGAAGTAATTAAAGTGAGAATTCCATCCAAAAGAGGGAAAGCAAAAGTCTAACGCTGAAACTAGGGTAAGTAGAGAACAGGAGGCCACATTGGGGGCATGGAAAGGTCCTTTGGATACTCCCCATTGAGAGCGAGGGAAAGATGCAGGGGTGGAGGAGGGAGGGTGGCATTTGAACCTTTGTCTTCTGTGCAGAGTACCTGAATTACGAGGATGGGAAGTTCTCTAAGAGCCGAGGGGTAGGAGTGTTTGGGGACATGGCCCAGGATACAGGGATCCCTGCTGACATCTGGCGCTTTTATCTGCTGTACATTCGGCCTGAGGGCCAGGACAGCGCCTTCTCCTGGACAGACATGATGGTTAAGAACAATTCTGAGCTGCTTAACAATCTGGGCAACTTCATCAACAGGTGGGACGGACCTGGCAGGAAGGTCACAGTGTGGAGGGAGCTAAGCGGGAGGGGGCTGACAGGAAGCGGGTGGGGAGAGTTGTCCCTGCCAGGCCAGCATACACTGGATGTACTCAGGTATGTTAGCTGGAGATGGGTGGTTAGGCAGGGTGGGTCACCGAGCAAATCTTTGTGAATTGCTTTGTTTTTGTGTAGCAGATTCAAAGCTGAGTTTCATCTTCGACACACACACACACACACACTTACACACATACTTGCACACGGACAGGTACACAGCACATACATACACACATGCACACACACATACACACAACACACATGTTCACATATGCACGCACGCACACACAGAGACAGGCACACATGTACAGGGTTAAGACTCTTCAGTCAGAGTTCTGGACCTTTAACTCAACACTAACCACATTTAGCAGCCTTCATTAGAGTATCTGTTAGCTTGTAATGCTCTTCAACTTGGTAATTCTGAATATTTACTTCTAGAAATGAGTTATTTCTTTGTTTGCAGAATCAGGTTTTTAGGAGAGAGAGAATGTACACTTGTAGTTTGAGGGGCCAGGAATTGTCAGGTTTGCACAGGGATGCCACAAGGATGAAGTTTGTTTTTGTGACATCTGTTTACTGTTCGAGTGTGGGATGTGACTGAGTCAGTTTTTCCTTCCACCATCTGAGTTCAGTCAGGTCATCGGGCTTGGTGGCATCCTTTATCTGCCGAGCCCTGGCTGGCCCAAGCCCGAAGAGTTATGGAAGTGGGGTGAAGTTTCTCTAAGGAAACTGGGCATTGACTTTGTCTTGTCTTCCTCCACCCCAAGAGCTGGCATGTTTGTGTCTAAGTTTTTTGGGGGTTGCGTGCCCGAGATGGTGCTTACGCAAGATGACAGACGCCTGCTGGCCCATATCTCCTGGGAACTCCAGCACTATCACCAGCTGCTGGAAAAGGTTCGGTAAGTGATTTCCAGCACAGTCATGTTAGCCGTGCCCTGCTACAGTTTGCAGCTCCATGTGCCCCCTCCCTTCCCAGGATCCGAGATGCCTTGCGTAGTATCCTCACCATATCTCGACACGGCAACCAATACATTCAAGTGAATGAGCCCTGGAAACGGATTAAAGGAAGTGAGGTGGACAGGTGTGTTCAGGGGCTGTGGCTGCCTATGGGCACGGCACGGCAGGCTATGTTATGTCTTCTTGGTAACTTTGACCTCTCTCTCCTCAGGCAGCGGGCAGGCACAGTGACAGGTGTGGCGGTAAACATAGCTGCCTTGCTGTCCGTCATGCTCCAGCCTTACATGCCCACAGTTAGCGCCACCATCCAGACGCAGCTACAGCTTCCCCTTCCAGCATGCCGCATCCTCGTCACAAGCTTCATTTGTGCCTTACCAGCAGGCCATCAGATTGGCACAGTAGGTCTCGTTAAGCTCGGTGGAGCTAGACAACCAAAGTTCTCATTTTTACAGTACTGCCTTAAACATCTGGCTTTGAGCCAGCTGTTGTAAAATCTTTCCCCGATTCTGATTCTACACCGGAGCTTCTTATGAAAGGTTCTTCTTGTGGTTTTGGTTTTTGGTGGGGTGGGGTGGGGGGGTTCGAGACAGGGTTTCTCTGTAGTTTTGGAGGCCGTGCTGGCACTCACTCTATAGATCAGGCTGGCCTCGAACTCACAGAGGTCCGCCTGCCTCTGCCTCTAAAGGGCTGGGATTAAAGGCGTGAACCACCAACACCTGTCTAAAAGGTTCTTGGTGAGTACAGAACTGTCCATGTGTCCTTACTGCTGTTCATGCCAGAAGCCAGGAAGTGGCGTAGGCATGGTTGAAGATGACCGCGATGACCTGATCCCTGGGTGTTCATAGCCATTTCCTCTGACACTGGATGATGAACATACACCCTTTGTCCCGTCCATTTACTTTCACCCCATGAAGAGTCCAGGCTCTCCGTAGTGAGTGAGGTCTTGAAGCTGTCGGACACTTGCTCAGTGCTCCACTCCTTTCTTGTAAAGCATCTGGGCTCTCTTGAGTGTCAGAGAGGGTGGGCTCTCTGGTGTGGTAGAGGGTATTATTGGTGGTTGACTCAGGCATGTGTTCCCCCCAGGTCAGTCCTTTGTTCCAAAAACTGGAAAATGACCAGATTGAAAACTTGAGGCAGCGCTTTGGAGGCGGCCAGGTAAGCAAGCTCGGCCGTGCCTTTCCCTGCAGGCATGCTACTGTCCCCTTAATCTCTGCAAGTCTGTCTCCCTCGCTCGTCCCCTCCTACCTCTGACCTCGCTGCTTCCTTACTTAAGGTTTTTCTTTCCTGTCTTAGCTAGAAGAGTCCTTGGAGTTAAAGGTAACCATTTTCTCTGAGCCGTTGTGTAAAACTGGATGCCAGAGGGCTTTGTGGCAGCAAGCATTAATTCTACTGCTTTTCTGCAGGCTAAAAGATCCCCCAAGCCAGCAGTGGTGGAGGAAGTTTCAGCAGCTGGGCCACAGCAGATACGAATGCTGATGGAGGAGGTGACCAAACAGGTATGACGCTTGTGGCTGAGGGGACTGGAGGCTGAGTCCTACACTGTGGTCCCCTCACCTCCCACTCCCCTCTCAGGGCAGCATAGTCCGGGAACTGAAAGCACAGAAGGCAGACAAGAACCAGGTGGCTGCAGAGGTGGCTAAGCTCTTGGATCTAAAGAAACAGTTGGCTTTGGCTGAGGGGAAACCCATTGAAACCCCTAAAGGCAAGAAGAAGTGAGAGGCCATGTTTATACAAAGTCCCTTTACTGGGTATGGACAATAATAAAGAACGGACAACACATATATACAAACAAGCTGAGACCTTTCTCCTCCCTACCCAACACCCTTGGCATTGGCATGACGGTGTGCACACGGGTGCTGGGGACGCGATGGCCCGTGTTCATGCCTGCTGCAGATTCACCACGCGGTCGATGAGAGCGCGGCGAGTGGCCTCTACCTCCCTGGTCAGGCGCTCGATTTCCCGCTTGAGCCGGTCGTTCTCCTCGGCCAGCTCTGCCACTCTCCTCTCATTCTCCTGTTCCTTGTCCCTCGTGCGCTGCTTCCCGGCCCGGGCTGGGCACTGACCACTCTGTTTCCGTTTCCTACTTCTCCCTTGATCTTCCTCTTCCTCCTGAGCCATAGAGCTCTGGCTGGAATCTGGAGAGCGGGGGCTGTGGGAGCTGCTTGTCACCTCTGCGGGCCCTGGCTCCTCAGTCAGCCAAGCCAGGGACGTGGGGTCCAGCGTAGTGAAGGTTTTTGACTCCCCCTTTAAGGAAGCGGAGAAGGGGCAGTGGCTATTCGTTGTGAAGAGGCTTACACGCTCCCCAGTTTTGTGGGGTTTATTTTATTACTGCTTGTCCTTAGACAAGCTAAGCCTGGCCGTGAACCCAGCAAGCCTGGGGTTCCAGGTGTTCGCCACCACACCTGCTTGCCTTGCCCATTTTAAGACGAGCATTCTCACTCACCTGTTCGTTTCCAAGGGAGATATAGGGGCCCCCATTTTCATCTGAGGACAGCACCTCCTGCAGATCCTCATACCAGGCCTCCAGCTCCCAGCTGGACACTGTGTCCAAGGTGAAAGGCAGGGACTCGGCTGCCATGGCTGTGGTTGGACTGGATTCTGGAAGAGAATATACAGGGTAAAGGTTCCACTCACCACGGCTGGCGAACCAATCTCACGTCTGCTTTAACACATAGGATTTAAAACTTACTAGACTTGGGGGTCAGGGAGGGGCATTGGCAGGGGGTGGGTGGGGGTGGAAAAGCAGCTCCCACAGGGTGTCCTCTGACCTCCACACTCACACCACTGCACACAGGCACCACAGTGAGTGAATGCAGGGATGGCAATGGCTGAGTAACGAAATACCTGCCACCAACCAAGCCTAGCAATAAGGAAAGGAACGAACTGCCAGAAACGGCCCCAACACTACGGCTAGCACCCCACAACACAAAATCAATGTGACTGAAAAAACTGGAACCCCCAGGCAGTGGTGTTTAATCCCAGGACTCAGGCGGCAGGATCGCTGAGTTTGAGGTCAGTCTGGTCTACAGAGTGAGGTGTTAGTACAGCCAGGGCAGCACAGAGAAAGGAAAAACCAAAATTGATAAATGTAAATACAATATTACTTAGTGATCCTTCTACAACTTTGTCTCTGTAAACAACTCGTTCCATGTGTATGCACACGGGTCACATGAGTGCTCTGGGTGGGGCCAGTTCCTGGAGCTGCAGTTCAGCAGTTGTGAGGCACCTATGTGGGTCCTGGAACCCAGTTCAGGGCCACCTCGCCTCACTGACGAGTTTCCTCTCCAGCTCCCACTTCCATTCCTTTGCTCTGTCATTTGTTGTGCGAGGAACTGAGCAAGAGCCTTGTATATATGCTTAATACAGCACACACTACCAGGACTGAAGAAAACAATACACTTTTGTACGCGATTTTGGCCATCAATTAAACCTACTGCCTCATACACAAATACTGAACTACACCCCCAGTCCAGCCTCAATATACATGTGTGAGTGCCTACATGTATGTCTGTGTGCCGTGTGTTCCTGGTACACATGGAGGCCAGAAGAGGGAATGGGTTCCCTGGAAACTAGAGTCATAGATGGTTTTAAGATGCTGTGTGGGTGCTGGGAGTTGAACCTGGGTCCTCTGCAAGAGCAGCCAGTGCTCTTAACCACTGAGCCACCTCTCCACTTCCTAAGAACAGACATTTTATTGACATAGGGTCTTACTGCAGATAGCTCAGGCTGGTCTTCAACTTTATGATCCTCTTGCCTCTGCCTCTCAAGTTCTGAGATGACAAGAATGGGCATTATGCTTGGCTATGCATATATATTCTTATGGGATTATATAGTAAAAGTATTCAACTCACTTGGGAACACTGTTGGTGAATTCCAGGAGCAATTACCACGCCATTTGTGTTCCTCTCGTGTGTGGGAAGCTTGGGCACAAGGTCCTGGGGTTGTCTAACTTTGGTGTGGGCTGTGACTCGGAAAGACAAACCAATTGCCTTTGTTGAGGCTGGCTGTGAGTGCCAGCTTTCAATTGGGAAGTGCTTTAAAAATAACGTTATGGGGTCAGAGAAAGACAGTCTGACAGCAAAAGTTTGTGCAAATCAAATCCTCTGCTAACTACTGTCCCAGGAAAGCAACCCTAAGCAGCACTGGGAGTTGACTTTGAGAGGGGTGGGTGAAGTTTACCTGCTTTCAGGTATGGTGATGTATGAAGATACACTTCCTTCTGGAACACTGTGGAGAACAGAGACACATGTTTACTGTTTGAGGAAAGAAACAGGTCCTTTACCTCTAGCCTCGGATTGTTTATTTCTTCTCTAGCCACTCCCCCCTTCTCCTGGTCTTTCAAGACAGGGTTTCTCTGTCTGTGTAACTCTGGCTGTCCTAAAACTAGCTCTGTAGACCAGACTGTAATTTCCCCCCCCTCTCTCTCTCACACACACGTGTGTGTGTGTGTGTGTGTGTGTGTGTGTGTGTGTGTGTGTGTGTGTGTGTGTGCGCGCGCCAGCGCCAATCCCAAGGACAGCCCACCAATTCCAAGGATAGAGGCAAGCTTGATTTTATTTTTAGCTGCTGACATTTGTAGTCCTGATTACATAATAGCAAAGTCCTAGCCAACTAAGCTTTCTCTAAGTTCCAGATAGACCTCAAATCTGCCAGAGTGAGGGCTAAACTATAGGGAAAAGTACAGCAGCACTTGCTACGTTCCCTCCGGTCCAGATCTAGCCTGGGACCTCCACCCCTGTTGTCTTCTACTGTGTCACCTTTTGAATGTGTAGCAGGCATTCAGACTACAGTTACAACAGTCTGCTGGCCTCTCCTCTCCAGGGCTGTATCAGTGGCAACTCCGCTTGCTCGTACCCTTGCTCCCTCCTCTCATCCCACAGCTCAGTATGGAGCGGCACAGGCAGCTTTATACATTCTTTTAAAGTACCTAAAGCCTGAGTTTTTCTTTTTCCCAGACAGGGTCCTGTAACTCACTCTATAGTCCAGGCTGGCCTTGAACTCAGAGAGGTCCACCTGCCTCTGCCTCCCAAGTGCTGGGATTAAAGGTTTTGGCCACTTCATAGAACAAGCCTAAGTACTTCTGCTATATTATTTCCAAATGGAAACCAATTCACCTTACTTCCCCAAGATTACTCCTTCAAGAGATCTCCTAATTCTTTTCTTCGAGACAGGGACAGGGTTTCATATGTAGCCATGACAGTCCTGGAACCCACATGTAGACCAAACAGGCCTCAAACTCACAGATTTGATTGCCTCTGCTTCCTGAGTGCTGGGATTAAAGGCGTGTGCCACCATGCCCTAGTGGTATCTCCCATTTCTATTCTTGTCTTTTATTACTTGAGTTTCACTGTTGGGGCTGTCCTCTAAACTAGGCAAGCAGTCTATCACTGAGCTACATTTTTGGATTCATTTGAGTCAAGGTCTCACTTTGTAGCCCAGGCTGCTCCGGAACTCAGAGACTTGCCTGGCCCTGCCTGAGTGTTGGGATTAAATACATATGCCATGACACTGGGCCTTAGGCCATTCCTCTGCCCAGATCCCTCCAGTGGCTTCCTGTTTCCCATCCCCTCTCATGCTCACTCCTGTGTTACCAGGCAGGCTTTATCTTAACCCTCTGCTCCCACTGCTCCTGACAAGCTCTTCTATCTGCAGAGCTCCAAGGCTTGCCTTCTCTGGATCTCTCTCTTAAAATCCCAGTGAGGCAATTCCTACACCCACAATCCCAAGCACTCTTACTTGTCAGCTCTTGGTTTCTGTAGAAATACCGGCTGTATTGAGAGCAGTGTTATCATTTGGGTCCTCAAATGCTTGGCACATAGTTGATGGTTATTAAGCATTTGTTAGAAATGAATAGGGAAAAAGCCACGCCCCCAACTTCCCTTAAAGAGAATGGAGGGCTAAGCCCAGAGGCAGAGCTGGAGCTGCTTATCTCTGGGGACTGGAGATGCAATATTGCCCTGAGTGTTTCTCTGCAGGGCTGTTCTCTGGGGGAAACTCCCTCGGTCTTCCAGTGTGTGGGGCCTGGCTTTCATCAGCAGTGGGGCCCCAGGCCAGAGGGCGCAGAGACAAACAGTGGGCCGGCCTGACGCAATGCTTACAGAGGTTAGTGAGGAGCGGACTGGGGAAAGAGATAGAACTCAATCCTGGGAGAAGCCCAAGACCCTGGAGAGGGTCCAGAGGCTGCTCTCGTGTACAGAAGCCTCTGGGGAAAAGGGGAAAACCCGTCTGCGCTCCTCCCACCCCTACCCGCAAAGGTCTGTCAAGCCTTAGGATTCTCTCGAACCTTAGGGTCAGCGACTAAGGTGGCCATGCTGGCCCCAGAGCCGCTTGGGAGAGTCGGGGCTAAGGAAGCTGTTGGAGATGAGGTGGGAACGCCAGAGTCCTCTACATGGGGGTGTGTCCTGATGCCCCGCCTAAGACGGCCCGCAGTTCCCGGTACAGAGGGTGAGGATGGATCTCCGGAGGACAACCGGAGTCCCTCTGCCTAGCGGCACAGAGCACAGCCAAGACAGGGGACAGAGATGCAATCGCCCGAAGGAGGAGGGGGCTTAGAGCACCACTCCAGGGTCAGGGACTCCCCCCTCCCCCGCCTTCATCCCTCCCTCCGCCAACAGGGCCACTGTGGACGGGGTGGGGCTACATCCTGCAGAGCAGTCGCCCCCAACCTCAGGGAACAGCCACGCTGCCGAGGACGGGAAGGGACGGGTAGACGGAGTCGGTACTCGCCTCGCTCCTCAGGTCCCGGCTTCTATTCTGGCTCTGTCGCTGCCACCCGTTCATCTTCAACATGATAGGATGGGCGCGTGAGACTCAGGCTACTGACCTCCGGAGCGCCCAGCGAAGATCTTTTACGCGGGCCTTCCCCGCCCCTCGGGGGGCAGGGCCCAGGAGCCTGCCAATCGGAAAGCGGCACGCTGGCACTGGCCCCGCCCCACCCCTCTCACCCGCCACTCAGGAGCCCCCGCGGCCCCGCCCCCGCCACGCCCTCTGGCTGGAGCGCCTACGTTGTCTCGGACCCGGAAGTGGCTTTGGGTCACGAGGCTCCGCGGAGGGGGCGAGTGAGTCATGCGCGCGCGCGGGCGGAGGAGCGTGTGGCGAGGGAGGGATGACGGGGGGCGGGGATGATGCAATGTTTGGCAACCGGTGTCTGCGCGCGCGCGCACGCGCAGTGCCCACCGATGGTGGTGGGAGGTGCGGGGTAGGGTGGGGGAGAGAGGGAAGAGGGCGGAGCGCCAGCTCCCAGCGTCCAACGGCCCCAACGGCTGTCCTTCCTGAACTTGTCTGCCCGGGAGCTGCGGCTCTGCCCACCTCCCATCACCTCCAACTTGCTCCTCCGTCAGGGCTCCCAGCTCCCCCGGCCCCTCCCCGCTAAAGCGCGCCGAGGCCCTGGAACCGCACTAAAGTTTGCACCAGCTCCACCTGGACTGACATCCCCGCGAGCCTTTCCACAGGGACCTCACCTCTTTTAACCTCCTAACGCTTCCCAGAGGCCGAGGTCCTGCCATTTCCTCGGTCGTGCACCCGCTCGTCCCGCACGGGCACCTTTGCTGGCGTTGGTTTGAGTCGCCCATTGCACGCCAGAATTCCAGTTCTTTGTAGAGTGCACCGGAGTCCCACCTCCTACTTATCTCACTGAGACCGGCGCCCACCCTTCCCCTTCTCCCGAAAGCAAGTGCTGCGACTCCCTGCCGAGCAGCTGGCCTCTAAGAGTCTGGGGTCACGACCTACAGTAGGGACGGGGACGCGCATGCACTTGAGCGCTTGCCTGCCCTGCACTGGGTTATCAGGGGGGACACAGATGCGACCTTAAATCTGTAAATTAAAGAACGAGGCGTGGAGGTAAATAAAGACCACTGTGGGGGCAACTTGAACAGAAGTAAAAACGCCTCGCGAAACGTATTTTTCGTGCCACGAAAAGAGAGGCCATGTGGTGTCCTAGCACATAGTCTGTCATGCGCTCAGACGGGCAAGCCAGAGTTTGTCTGAGCAGAGACCGCACCAGGAGCGGCTGCCATTGGAGGGCGCGACAGTGACAGGTCCTTGGCCAGACCGCTGCTTTGCTGCAGACCCTCGCCTCCCCTTCTGTTAGCAGGGGTGGGGGTGGGTCGAACCAGATGGTCTCTCCTGGCCTCAAGACAGACCAGGTTGTCAGTGACAGGCGGGGGTCACGTGACTTGACAGGCGGAGGTCGTGTTGTGACATGTTGACCTGGAGAGGCGGGTCAAGTCCCGGCACACTACCCGGGCAGCCTCTGGGGCGGGGCAGGGCAAGTCGCGACTTTCATCTTTTAGGGCCGGCCCCTCCCGGACCTGACATTCCTGGCTCCCCCAGCAGACTGTGGCTTCGGAAGGGGCCCCTCCCCGGGGAGGACCGCGATTGGCCACCGGTGGCCTGGGAAGAGGCCCAGATCCTTCCGCGGAGGGCGGGGTGCGGCGGCCGCGTGGGGTGTTTGTTCTCTTGGGGATTAATGGGGGGCTGTGGGGGAGGGGCCGGCGCGCTCCCGCATGCGCACTGCGTCCCCTCCTGTTGGCTCGCTGCGGTCCGCTGGGCGGGGGCCGGCCCCGCCCCTCTCCCGTCGGGGCAGCGGCGGCGGCGGCGGCGGCTGCGGCGGTGGCGGCGGCGGCGGCGGCGGCGGCGGCGGCCTGCGCGGTGCCTTCTGGGAACGGAATCCCCAGGGCTGCCCCTGGCCCCTATGGCGCATGCGCGGGAGGCCGCTCGGTGATCGGCGGCGGCGGCGGCGGCGGCGCTTCCTGCTGAGACCGGCCGGGGCCGTACCGGAGGCTCGGGCTCCACCGACCCACCTCACACCCCCTCCCGCTCAACCTCTGGGCCGCGACTGCGCAGGGCGGGGCCAGCCGAACCATGGGCCGCGGTGAGTGCGGGGCCCGGCCCCCCCGCCCCTCCCCCTCCCCGCTCTCCTCCCCTTCTGCCCCGACCCTCTGCCCCCTCCCTCGGCGTCCGCGCGTCCTCCCGGCCCCTGCCCTGCCCTGCCCTGCCCGGGCGCCATCCACGGCCCGCACCCTCACCTGCCCCCGCCGCCCTCCCCCTCGGTGCCTGACTTGTGCCTTCCTGACCTCCCTCCCTCCCTCCTCCCTCCCTCCCTCCAGCGCTTCGCCCACCCTCCACCCGCCCTCTCCCCAAGTTCCTTCCTACTTCGTGCGCCCGCCTGCCTGCCTTCCCCTCCTCCCCAAGCTGAAGGAAGCAGTCTGGGTGACAGGGCGCCTTGTTATGAGA